CGCAGCCTCCGCGCGTCCTTCGCCGGGCTGCCCTCAGTGGGCCGGCGCCGCTGCCCCCATGCTCAGGTCGTCTTTGTCCGTGTCTGCAAACGACGGAGAAGCGTTAATGTCCCGGAGCGCGCCCGCCTCCATGTGTGCGCAGGAATGCACATGCAGATGGGCTATACCCTGCCACGCACACCTACCGCTGCGGCTGTTTCCTGAGAGACTGCGAGACAGAAGAAAGGCAGGAGACATCACATGACCGAACCTTGGGAGGTTCAAGTAAATTTTCTACTTGTCGGGATTTTCGCTCGACCGCATTGGGGTGGTTTTGCTTTTTGATCTGAGATGAGAAAACGAAAACCGAATATTGCTGTGCATACAAGGTTGTTTTCAAAACGGTGTGGTCTTTAGATAAAGTAGAAGTCACACAGTTCAAAGCACTTAAGATGAATGTTTCAGGCTTATTTCTCAGAATTTGGTGTAACATCCAGGTGTAACATTAACTAAGCGTCACAACAATGATTATTAGTATGGTCAATGTGCTAGGATCAGTGATTTCATCTGAAGTACCGGTTGAGTGAGAATTACCGGTTGAGTGAGAACAGAAAGCAGATTCTTTCTTGCCTTTCATATATCATCAGAGGCTGACCTAAACATAGGGTCTTTGCTGGAGGATGTGATGAGGAGATAGGAAGAAGTTTTTCCCTCTAGACAAAAGCCTGAGGACACTCTTTGTGCTGTATATTCTTGCAGAATAATATCAATAGGTAAGGCCTTGAGCGAATTATTTAGGTGGTCTGCCAACATGCCGCACCACCACTGTCCTTGTGCGAGTTTTTCAGTGAAGGACGCTGTGAGAAGGTCAGTTGAATTCATTGTCATCTTGCAAGTATGGGATAAGCAGATCATCTAATATTCTCCTGTAATGTACAACTCAGAGATATAAATTAATTCTGAGTTTCATAATGGTAGTATTTGACAAGCCTCTGCTGCAAATTAGAGAGTTTTCTGGAAGATTCCTAGACCAAGACACATTGACAAAGTGAGAATGTTACTCATGGGAATAAGATAACAAAGTATCCACTTTGTAGACACAGCATGAAATAAGTTCCATGCAAATCAGTGCACTATTATATCTTTTAAAATATTCCTCTCTGCCATAAAATCACATTTACAGAAAAAAGAAAGAAAATAACCACACAAACCCCTATGCTTTTAAAGACATTTAAACAGAACAAGAAGGTGACTTTCAGTATTTTATAAATGCTCATCAAATGGAAGAGGAATGTCCCTTTGAATAGTGATTGGTTGGAATAGAACAGAATTGATTGGTTGGAATAGAATACAGAGAAGAAGAAGCACATCTTCAATAAAAGTAAATCTAATGGGAAGGGTGTATACAACGCGTATGACAGGTCAAGGGGACAGCTCTCTCAGGGTGTAAAGACTCCAACAGGGGAGAAGGAAACAGGAAATTCAAGGAAAATGTCAGAGTGGCAGTGGGGTACTGAGGAATGTGCATGAACACTGAGGTGAAATGTTTTCTGGAAAGCAGCTAAGAACAGGGCAAAATATAAAATACAGGGACAGTGGGAGGCGCCACTGTAAGAAACAGCTAAAAGGAGACAGATGCTGTCACCACTCCTGTTAAGGCATTACTTTGCCTTTTGAGTAAGGCCAGTGCTGTCAAGGGTTTGCATTACTTTTGGATAAGATGCAAAGTGGAAAACCCTTAGTATTCTGTCATTTAAAAATGCATGGCATGCCTTGTAATGGTTATTTATCCTTTCATTACTGTCTGAATTTCAATTCTAATAAAGTACATTCTGCCTATAATCCTTATATTCACCTTATTTTTTTTCAAAAATGTGTTTCTCCACAGTGCCTTGGCCAGAGAAGGAAGCAGAGTGGATAATAAAACCCACCTTCCGTTCCTCATTCTGGAACACTATGTAGTGTACTGCTGGCATGCAACACAGATTTATGCACAATATAAATGCTCTACCACTTTGAAATCAGAAATTGAACATGCTGGTTGACATCTGTGTTTTCTCATTTGCTCTTAAAATTTTTTGCACTTAAATAAACAAGCTGACCTGATTGAAAAAAAAGTGCAAAACTTACTGAAGAGCTCTGAAAGACACTCAGTTACCTCTTGCACAAATTATTTCCCAGTCCATCTAAAACACAGCTCTAGAAGGTAACCTGAGGCTTTTAGCAGTTTTTAGTCACAAGCAACAGCACCCAGGGTTTGTTATGAAACAGAGGCCTTTGGCCTCAAATTAGCATCGTGCAATATTTGGAACATCTACTGTTGTACACAAAGAAACTTCTGTTTGGGAACACACTAAGATTTGCAAGCCAAGGAGTTTCCTTGTTGCACAAAACTTGTAACAGTGTAATGAATAATCAACAATTTTCAACATGCTAGAGATAGGGATCTGCTGTGCCCCTGAATACATAACCTAGGCATCATCATGCACAAACAGAATAAATATGAGAGATAACACAATCCATAGTTTCTGGTCTTGACTAAACATGCAAAAAGTGTTTTAATACTGTATACAAACTGGATTCTCCATGTCTTGTTAGTCTCTGTAGAAAGACTTATCCCCACCTTGATCCTTTATTCATTCTTTCCGTTGTGAGAAAGGGAAAACAAACCAGCTAGTAAGCCAAAATCCTTTCCTGTTTACTACTCTGTAATGTAATGGAAAAGTCAAGCAACTAAGTGAGAACCAATCCGAGCACCTCTTCATGCCACTTTCCTAGGCCTTACTGAAACTCTGCTGGCATTACTGTTTTCTGTAGAAATACTTTGCCATCTTGCTGATGCATCATTCTTACTTTATAGCATTAAGGTATACCTTTCAGAAGAAATTTCCTTCAGAAGATCAGGATCCTGTACCACTTCTCAGGAGAGAGGATGTCAGGTAAAACTGGAATCTGTTACAGAAAATTATAGAGGTTTTGCTCACACACTGGGAATGTCTAGTCTACTGCTATTTATAAATTTCTTTCCTTAATGTTTTAATTATGCTTTTCATTAATATTTTAATGGAAAACACATTTAAAGATTTTTCGCCTCACATTTCAGTCCACATGGTACTGAACTTTCGTTAAAAAATATTTTTGGATCTGTGAAACTGAGAGTCATGTTTTTACCTAGGTTTCAGGCACATAGTATAAGGAAAGAGCTGTACTTAAATCTCCTTGTTCTGCCAAAGCATGTAATAACAGTTCCCTTATTCCTTTTAAGAAATAATGGTGGTGATGCTACTTACAACACTCCTACATTGTCTAGTCACATTCCTTACACTAAACAATTTTTTTTGCTGTATCATCTACTCATGAACTGGTGAACTTTTGGTCTATGTACCATATGATCCAAAGCAAAAAGGTGATCTCTTTCCAAAGAGTTTGCAATTTAAGTATGAAAGACAGGCAAAAACAGGCAACAGAGCAATCAGCAAGCTAGAGCATAGTCCTTGTACAGTACATCTGCTGCCTTGATTTTTTTTTATCACTTGTTTGTACATTTTGCACTAACTACTGAAATCAGTTCAATTTTTGACCTCAGATATTCTTTAGAATATTGATAGCTTGATGTCTAACTTGGATATTCTTCTTGGCGGTACTACAGAGGACTTTTCTGGCCTTGAATAAGTCATGATCCTTTCATGGTTCAATTTTTCCCAGCTGTAACTGTGTAACAAATATATTTACCTACCTAAGGCATGACACAAGGCTGAGGGATATAATATTATTAAGTTTCAAGATGAATTCTTGCTCAAAAGAAGTGTATTAATGAACTGAGCAAAACCTTTTAAACCTCTTCTCATACATCACTTATGAAGATCTACCAAAATTATTGCAGCTATAAGCTCTTTTTCTTAGATTCTTCCAGACTAGTAAATTGACAGCATAGTTCTCATCTGGATCAACAATTCCATCTATTGCAAACACCACTATCTGTTAACTCTCTGGGGGAAAGCAACTCTACCATTTCAGACTCAGAAAAACACTGAGAGCTCAATTTCCTTCACCCTGCTGCTACCACTGTTAAATCTCTTTCAGCCTAGGTGTTTGTTATTCTTTCTGTTCTATGAGTCAAAGACACAAATAGAAGCACAACTTTTAATAAATTGTGGGAGCTTTGTTCCTGGAAGCTACAGATTTCCAAATTACCGAGAAACAGATGCAAGAATTTCACTTTTATTTTTGTCTCAACGGGATGGAAGAAGGACCACTTCCTCACTCCCACTGAAGAGGAACCTACAGTTATTCTTTTCCTCTGCCTGCTGCTCATCACCCTTGCTCTGCCAGCAGCAGAATCACACAGTGCCAGCTGCAGTAACTAGAGGACAGTGACTTGAAAACAGCATAAACATTCAACCACCAGCAAACATTAAATGCCTGGTTGGTATATCTCAGCATGGCTGTGGGCTGTTAAGCAACACTCCTATGTGATTGATATATCCAGCACATACCACACAATCCTTTTGAACATCTGCAAAAGAAGAGCAGACAGGAGTCACACAATTTTACAGAGACCTCTGGATGGCTGCCTCCCTGAATAATTGCCAGATGGACAAGGAACTGGCAGGAACACTCTCCACAGAGAACCCTGCTTGCTTTCTCCAGAGCCAGTGCATATCTGAATAATCGTTTCTGGGTGCAGTAATGGCATCCAGCCTGACACATTCTCTCCCTCCTTTTCATTTCTGCTCATTCCACCCTGGCCCACCAGTCATAATGTCCATATGCTTCCATTTATGATGTCCAGCAGTGGTGGCAGTGCTGTTCCTCTTCCTAAATCCAGCAGGTGGACCTGCCAAGGACCTCACAGCTGTTGGAGGAAACAAAACTCAGCAGCAGCACCATGCCTAGCTCATCATATGACCCCTTTATGCCAAGCCTGCCAATTTTCTGGCACCATGGTGGAAGTGAATCAAACAGCTATTAGCTGTGACAATGTCAGGGAGTCTACAGATCTTAAGAATAGTTCTGGGATCCTTTATGTCCAAACAGTCAGGTCTCTACCGTCACCACCACCAGCAGCCTTTTCTTTAGAAAAGTCTGTGTGGCTTTTTACTAAGGCTTTTAAATCTCTGTTATTCCCTCGAGCAATGTAGTTGGCACAACACTACTTTATTGCTTGTGTGCCAGTCACAGTCCCTGAGAACAGTGTTTCCAAAGCCTTTTAATCCAAAGCTATCATCTAAACTAAACATCTTTAAAAACCATATGATCTGGACATCAGTATTAGGCATTTGCCTCTCTAATGGCAAAGTGTTTTGAACATGTTCTTTCAATGTCCTCTGTGCATAAGTAAGTAGGAGTCCAGGAGTCATAAAAAAGTTCCCCATGTGATTTTTGGAAAGAGAAAATTGCACTAGAGATTTCTGAGGAAAGTAACATTTCAGTTCTAGTCTTTCATTGGTATTAAAATCAATCCTCTTATCTTCGTAATTCACGAAAAGCTGGCTCCAAAAGAAATATAAAGAAATAAAATCTATTTTTGCAAAACAAATTTCTGACTTTTCTTGTGTTCTACTTTACTGAAATGATATTTTAAAAACATATTCTATCTATTCCACAATGTAAACATACCTGTGGAATTTGATTGCCCTTCCTGAGGTTTTTCATTTATAGAGTTCTAGCTGTTCTACATCATAGCTTCCTTTGCTACACCCAATTAATTTGTAATTTTTGTGATGTCTGGATACTAATCCTATCAATAAATCATGAATAGAAAAATCCTTTATTTTCTGCATGCTTATCATCCTTATGTTAGGTACTGAAATCACAGAAAATTGCTGTTGCATTAGTTGGTGGTCTTTGACTTTTGTAAAGTGATTTTTCATGTAATATAAATACAAGCAAATACATATAAATATGTGTGTTACTTATATATGCTGCTCCTTTAGTGGATTTGGTTTAGATTTTGTGGTTTTGCAGTTTTCATTTTCATCATTTCATCTCACTGATGTAACCTAAAAATATTATCAGTGTACAAAGCTGAGCTGACTTCAAATGCTCTATGTGTTTGCACTATGAAAGGCTTTGAGAAGCAAGGAATGACCTTGACAGAATATTTTGTGTGGATTTGGGAGGGGACATTACTCTAATGCTTGCCAAGGTAGGATACACAATTTATTTTGACTGATTGCCTATCTTCCTTGTTCTTTGTGGTTCAAGCCAAAAGTTTTCAGATTTTGAATCAAGGTTTGCAAATCTCCAGAGCATAACTGACGACTTACAGTTGAAGGTGTTATCCATGCAAGCCACTTCCAGTTAGTTGTGTAACAGCCTCAATCCAGTTTTCTGTGCATGGCAATAACAGTGCAAGTCAGATCAGTTAAAAAACAAATGTCACAATTTTCCCTTGAACTTCATTAACTAAGGAACAGTACTGAGATGCTGCATTTAATTTCATTCCTCTACACACAAGATTTGGAAAGTGATTTTGCTTACAAATATGCACTGATTTCATTATATTCATTTCTTTAGGTGGTTTCTAACATCTTAATTATAAGCTGCATGAACGGTCTACCCTTTAATTTCTATCCAAGATAAGAATGTGTATTAACACTTTTCCATATTAGTCATGGAAGTCTTTAGATTATAACTATGTGTTTGCTCTGTTTAACCAGAACAAAGGATCCTTCACAGGGTGGTAGCATACCTTTCAGTAGTAAGAACTACTGCAGCCACGTTCTAATAACTTCTTTCAGTCTCTAGTGAAATATGTATATATGAAGTATGGAGGGATAAAATAAAATGTAGACTGTTGATACTAAATAAAGAAAATTATACTACATATTTTTG